ATAAGGACATAATGTGTGGTACCTTACTGCAGAAATAGCAGCGGCACACTGGCATTTCGCAGTCTCTCACGTTAGTGATTGTATGTTAAAACTCTGATTAAAAAGAAGGCTTTTTTATAAAAGCCACCTTCCTTTCTAGTATCCAGTATTTATCGAAAGCCTAATTAACTCCTGTAATTAGGCAAAAGCGAATTCTTTAAGACTACTTCTGCTGAAACACTTTCAAATAAGGGCCATTGTTTACTGCCCACTCTTTCCTGTTTTCTCTCACACATGGTACAGCTAGCTTCTTTCTTCCTCATATCTAATATAGGCATATGTAAAAACATCTAAACAAGCCACTGTATACTGCATAAGATAAATCCTTTCCCCTAAGCAAGCCATACAAATGTGGTGTGCAAGAGATTTTCTTCACATTTCTAAGAACTCCTCAGTGCCAACTGGCAAAGGGTTCACTGTTCTGTAACAGTGACTCCTGACAGGTGACAAACTCACTACACCCAATAAATTTCTTTCATAGTAGTTATCCAAAGAGGGCCAAGTGAGATCTCTAATAAAAGCTTGTCATACTGATCCTCATAATCATTGCGAGATGTATGTACGGATAACATTTAAAGAGCGCTGTGTGTGTGTGTGTGTGTATGTGTATGTGTGTATATATATATATATATATAGAGAGAGAGAGAGATGTTTTAAAGTCTGAATCAAAGCAGAGTTGACAAGGAGGTTTTGACCATACAAAGGATGCATATTCACCTGTCTGCCTTGGTTCACATGTAAAATAAGGATTGTAAGCCTATTTGCATATGACATCAGCATGAGGATATGAAGTCACTACCTAATTTCCCCGTGCAGCACCCTGTTTAGTGCCACGCAGACACTCAGGGAACCCGCCCGGCCAGGACCTGCCGGGGAAGGGGCAGCCTGAACCCAGCCACGGCCTGGGCCTGTCAGAGCCAGGGCACCCTCCCCTGGCCCAGACTGGCCAGGGGAAGGGGCACCTCTCCCAGGGCCCTAGCCCCAGAGCTGCCGCGGTGGGGAGAGGCACCTCTTTCCCCCCTCCGCGCCCCCCACCCCCCTCAGCCCAGGTGCTGCTGCAGGGAGAGAGAGGTGGGACGAGTCCTCTCTCCCCACCTAAGCACCTTCCTGCACCCCAAACCCCTCATCCCTTGCCCCACTCCGGAGCCTGCACCCCCAGCCTGAGCCCTCACCCCCTGCACCCCAACCCTCTGCCCCAGCCCTGAGGCCCCCCTGACACTCTGAACCCCTCAGCCCCACCCCCACCACACGAATTTTAGTATGTGCCCCAATATGAAGGTGATGTGTCACACATCACCTCCATAATGGTGCGCATAACAAAATTCATTACACGTGTAGGGGGGAAATTAGAGGGAACACTGGTCAGCACCCCAGAGAATAAACACAGGGGTCATCTTGACTCTAGGGACAAAATAACTAATTCTGGGGATACAATGAGGCAAAAGAACGCCTCTCTGTGCTTCACAGAGGAAGCAAAAGGGACAGCACTTTCATGAATGCAGTAAGAAGAATCCCAGCTTTGTTGGTTGGAGACTCTGGGTGACTGCTTTAGGTGAGAAACTACTTTAGACAAAGGTTTTAGCATATTAAAGTTTAGATTCTGGGAAGCACTTTATACTTTTTTGTTTTACATGTAAGAATTTGTTCCTGTCATCATCCTTATTCATGATCTCTTAAATCTTAGCTTTTGATGATAATCTTATGATTGTTTTCACTGTAGATATATCTCAGTGCTGTGATGTTATATTGGTGCTAATCGTCAGTTGACTCAGACAAGCTGGTGTATGCACTGGGGGCAGCTTACCTTGTAATTTCGGAGAGTCTTGACACTGCAGGGGAATGCTTCAAGGCAGCTCGGGGATTGGGGTACACCTATTGTTGTCCTGCAAGTCAAAGTAAGGGCTGGCAGAGCACAGAGGAGATTGTTTGGGTAGCAAACAGACTGGTGGTGTCAGGGAGCTGACATCAAGTGGAACACAAGCAGATCTTCCTTTCGTTGGAGGCAAGGGGGTAAAAAGGTGACTAAGTCCTGAGCACCCCGATTTCCTATTGCATTAACATAAAGTTTGATAGTCTGTACCGTTACATGCTATTTTGCTGCATGCTGGTCTTCTTGGAACTCATTTTTCTACAGTCTTGGATATGCCATTCTGAAATTGTTTGGTCAGTGACTTTTATCTGGTTGGAGATTTGTCCTATTTCTTGCAAAAGCGGTGTTTCCAAACGTCTTGGAATGAAGTTAGCTCCACCAAAATGAGGCTGATGTAGCCACTTTCCATTGAAATCTCCCTTCTCTGTCAATATCCTTTTTCTCCTTCCCTTCTTCCATTGTCTGCCATTGCTTATGTCTTTTCACTTAGGGCCTGGCCCTGCAGCCACTACTCAAGTGAGTGATTTCGTTGACTTCAAGGATCAAGCCCTTAATTTTAAAGTCCTCATGATAAGGACCCTGTTGTCCTTGTATATCTGTATTGCACTATATATGTCTTTTGGACCATATAAATATTTATTCCATTAACCTGGTGGTTCCTAGTTTGTGAGCAACTTATTCATCCTGGACTCTAAATCAGCATGTCCCTGTCTCCCAAATGGTTCAAAGTGCAGTCTCTCAGAACTGTGATTCTGTCAGCCGACTTACGAGATGCTTACCTCCACAGGCTGACAGCCAATGCTAAAAATATCTAGGATTTTCTCTGAGTTGTATCTGCACACTATCATTGGGCCTACCATCAGATCCCTGCATTTTCATGAAGCTGATGATGTTGGTTACATCCTGTTTAAGAAAATGGAGCCACTAAACCTTATCTCTTCTCTCCCCCTTGCCCCCACCTTTGCCTCATGGTAACCTGGTGACATCTGAGTCAGGAGATAGTGGGGCTTAGTTTCTTCCCTTCCTCCGGCTAGTCTGTGATAGAATAGGATTAATTGAAAGAACATCTGTCACAAGTGAAAGTCTTAAACATCCAGTTTGCACTACACACAGTACTTACTTCACTTCTAGTTTTGTGTCTGGGGGTAACTTTTTCCATGTTCAAGTATGGAGGTTTGTTATGGGTTTATTTTAGCCAGTCACTTTAGAAAAGGAATGCAAATTGTGATTAGCACTTCCTCCTTGTTGTTTACAAGAGAGACCTGGGAATGAAGAACTAGACTTGCAACATCAAACAAGCAAAGAGATTATCAAAAAGAGAAGGCAGAACTACATAAAACAAATAGTATTATGTCATAACTAATAGAGATGTTCATTTAAATGTATGTTTCTGTCTTGTCTGCCAAGATTTGCTATTGATCTTTGGCTGCTTTTAATTTGTCTGTAGACGATAACAGCAAAAGTAATCCCATTATTTTTAGGG